CACTCGAACTGAAGAGGCTTCTCGCGGGTGACCCCGGACTGACGGCGGCCTCCAGATGGCGTCTCCGGCTCCGGCTGCAGACTGTGACTCTCGGCTGCTCGACTGTGATTCTCCCTCTGGTTGGGTGGCGCACCCTTTTATAGTTGGGGGGAGGGGTGACTGCCACGCCCTTGCGACGTCATCTTCCTCTGCCTTCTTCTGGTGGGTGGGGCCGTAAGATGGCGCCCTCTGTCCTGTTTAGTCACCTTGCTCCTCTGTGCCTGCAATTTTTGGCCGTCGAATCGTCTTCGTGTTGAGTGCTTTATCATTTTAATAATCGCTGGCATAAAACAATCCCCGAAAGGTTTGTGATTTTCGAGTTTTAATTTTAATTCTTCAATTTCATTTTATTCAAACTTTTGTTTCCTTCCGTTTCGTCTGCCGGCAACGCCCCTTGTGACGTCACTCTTGCTCCGCCCACCGTCTCGGGCGTGCCGTAAGTCAGCGCCTTCTTCCTCTGCGGAGATCTCTGGAACTACCTCATGAGGCCATTGTGAGGTCGGTCACCCGGTTGTTTTGCCAGGTTCACTCACCCTGGGTTGCTGTGCCCGACAAAGGAGGCTGTGTGCTCCAGCCGGCATCCATCCTTGACACTGCTCCATGATCTGTTGACATCTTTTGCTGATGCAGCGTTATTTGAGGAGGTTCGAATCGCTCATCCTGCGGTAGCTGTCTCCATAGGCGGGCGTCGTAATGAGAGTTTAACGGTTGCCCATTGCGAAGACCTCTGGAACTACTGCGTTTTTGCTTGCCATAGGATCTTCCTGGTTGTGCCATTCCCACCATGTGACTCAGCGCGGTGCAGCTGTTGTGGTACCTGACAGAGTACGTGACAAGTGACAGAGTACCTTAACGTGCTCGCTCGCCGCCGCCGCCGGCCGCGGTCCTGACGTAGCTTGTTGACTCAGCTGTGCCTCGACGGTTCGTACTGATGTAGGCGGCATCGTCTTCTCGCAGATGTGTCTACTGCGGCTATTCCCACGGACAGTGCTCGTTGCGGGAGATGGAGAAAAGTGATGTGTGGGGGATGGTGGGCCTGGTGACTGGGGGGGGTGAATAATGAGAGGGGAGGGGAGCGCAGCAGCAGCGCTCCGCTCAGCTGTGCGTCACCCGGTAGCAGCGATGGGTGAGTGAATGGAGGGCTAGGCCTGTGACCGGACTGCGAGGGGGGGGGGAGACTGCCGGACCAAGCCGTGCCGAAAAGATTCTACGTTAAATGTTAAAGATGTAGCGTGCTACACTACCACTACCCCTTACCACTACCCCTACCACTACCCCTACTACTACCCCTACTACTCCCCTACTACTACCCCTACCCCTACTACTACCCCTACCACTACCACTACCACTACTCCTACCTCCTACCACTACCACTACCCCTACCACTACCACTACCTGCCACTACCACTACCTGCGACTGGGGTCATGTCAGGTCACATAATAATTAGATCCAATAAATATTTAAAAAAAAATCAGACTTTAAAATTGCTCCTAGCCCTGCTCCTATTCGTGGCATTCTATTACCCTTAATCAAATTTGTCAGAAATGGCGCTTTGTGGCAAACGTGGCGCATTGCGGCAAACGCGGCGCATCTGAACCTGTTGGTTGAGCATGCATCCTGGCACCAAATTGTACCCTTATCGAACTATATTTGACAAAACTGTGCAATTTGCGGCAAAAATGACGCTTTGTGACCAGTGTGACGCCTTGCGGCAAATGCGGTGCATTTGTAAATTCCTATCACAAACTGTACCCATTTTGCGACAATCAACACATTTTTCGCCACCATTTATTAAAATCAATAACTTGCTGATCCGCCAATGCGAGGCACCCGGCGCCGATCGGCATGCATTTAGCTCAGTAAGTTCGTCGACCCAGGCTCTCAATGATGATATAAGAACCAGGGTTACCGCTGCTAGGGAAATTTCCCTTTTCTATGGAAATCAGCGAAAATCTAGGGATATATGGATTTGCCACGAAATCTAGGGAAATACCAGAAACCCGAAAAATTGTTGTTTTTTCAACAATCGAAATCATTGTTGTCATGAATTATTCTTCCGCATGTCATATGAAATAGATATGAGAACATTTTTTCACAAAATTCAGGTTTGATACTCTCGTTTGAAATACATAGGGAGAATTACATAATTATACATGCATATATGATTCTTGCTATTATTTCAAAACAAACTGCTTCCATGCTTTGTATTGTACCATATCGGGTGCGGCTAATTTTTTACATCAAAGTTTTTGTTTTGGCGCGATTGTAACCAAAAATTGTAAAAATATTTTTACAATTTCTAGCGCATTTCACTTCTTTACGGTCAAACTGACGGCATGGGAAATAATGCATCGACTCGTCTCTTATCGCCAGCACTACCTATACGGTACAAGGCCATCTATAGAAATAATACGGTATAGTTTCCCGCGTCCCGCAACACACCACAATTTGCGATATACCACGCACGTATTTTATACCACATAGAGTAATTTGCTATAGGTATGCCAGCAATTTCATTACAATCTCTTACGTTACGGTACAGAATGTAGTTAATTGCTGTTTACGACGCAGCGACTATAACACGAATGGTTAAAGGGACCCTCCCACCTTAACATTAGTTTTGAGTTGAGATAGCCAAGTTTGCGGCCAGGCTCAGAAACCACCATTTATCCTGGTCGCAACCCCCGCAGCTTTATGGTGTTCAAGAAATTTCTTCCCTTTACTTGCAGGGTGGGACCAGCGTGGTCCCTATCTCTTAACCATTACGGGAGTCTGATGACGTCATCAGGCTTTCGAACGTCCGTTAAATGTTTGACTAAAACGTTTTGTAGCATGCGGTGGTATATGCTGCTTTGCGCGCAACAAATGCCGCACTTTCAAATAAAGTTGCTAGGAACAGCGGAGATCCCAAAAAGTAAAAGTAAAAGTCTAATATCTTGAAAACCGGTGAATATTTTTCGATGAAATTTGGTAGATATTCGTTTTTGCTCTTTCTGAACCGAGGAACATCACTTTCATGCCAATTCATTAACTTTTTTGAAGGTGGGAGGGTCCCTTTAAAATGACGAAAGTACGTCAGATTCCAGGAAAATAGCCGCATCTAGGAAAATGATTTTCAAAATAGGGAAATTTTCGTGAGAATCTGGGGAAACCAGCAAGACGCCAGCGGTAACGCTGATAAGAACCGATCAAAATTTCATTGGCGTTCTTCCAGCGCGCCCCACGCGCGAACCGTGCACCCCAGCGAGTCGGAACCTAGAAATGGCGCTGACCCGTTCTGTCACCTAGAAGGTGTGCAAATTTCAACTTCCTACGACTTACCGTCTGCCCTGTAGGCGAGGTTAATTGAACCCACTACACGATGTGCGGACACACAGACTCACAGACTCACAGACGGATTCTGTTTGAATAGTAAGTTAGATTCCAGCGATCAATATATCTGCTTATAAAGACTGATAGCTAAGCAACGCAATATGTGATGGTTCTTTTGAAAACTGTGTTCATCATCGAAAACAATGAAATTAATTTCACCTGAAGTGCATTATCGACATAACCCTATGTCTCAATTTTATATCCCAAGTGATCTAAGTACTCATTGCGATGCCTTGTTTTCGAATTGTAACACCTCATTGCATAACTGTCGTCATTCGCCCTCGATGTATGAACTAGCTCTCGAGTCCAGACGACTTTGCTTATTTGAATAACTGCGCGTCTCTTTCAGCGGTCCGGGTGCCGCCCCACCCTTACCTTGAAACGTCAATCATCCTGTTTACACCCCCTGACATGACCTTAAGGACTTTTCACGACCACGCCACGTGACTCTCAGTCACGCAGTCCCTTCACAGACGGTGCGACAGGGTCCAGACCCGATACAAACACCTCTGGGGACGGTCTGTGAAATGTTGTCTCTATTGTGTCTGGCTGTGGCGGCTATTGTGTCTGAGCCATTCAGTAGCGATTCGTCACCATTAGACAGTGACCGAAAGGTGCACTGCACGGGCCGGGCAAGTTAATGACATGCATCCTAGTGGTGCTCATCGCACGGCGTACTTCGCCTGACACAATGAACAGATGAATGAAAAAGCTTGTTTTCAAGTACATCTAAAAAATTTGGATTGATTGTGCCATCTATAATTGGACTAAGAACGCTATGAAGGCGTTTGATCGGTGGGATCCTGTTTAACTCGGTTTACGATATCAGCCAATTGTAAATGATTCATGGCAAATACCAGCATAAAATGACGATCTATCAGCCCCATTAGGAAAGTCTGTCGCGTCCCCTCATGACGATAAACTCGCGCGGCCTGAAGTGCCGAGCCCTCCACCGGAGTTTTTGCTCGGTCCACCCTCTGAGTGGCCGCATTGCTCCCTGATTGTGCAGCTCGAGTGTTGACAGAACGCCAGCCCCTGTTTGACATCCTCTCCGGTTGAGGAGCGTCGTGATACCTCTACCCACCGCCCTATCCGCACTGGCAACCGGTGGAATCCTGTTTGACTAATGCAATCACGGAAAGTTTTCCTGCTTATAGTCGAGAGCTGGGTTATCTGTAGACTTCAGTTGACTTTGATTCAGCTGGCTTTGAAATGAATTGGTTGCTGGGCGGGTCATGTCCTCTCCCACTTGCCTATAGACACTGTCATTCTCTGGCTTCATTCTCATTGTGTGTTCCCTAACGGAAAGCTCTCGTTTTTTTTTTCTTGCAGCTGTCCATCTTCTCAGACATTTGATTGTCCTCATACTCTAATTGCCTTCGCAACTGAGAAGCTCGTTTGTTTTTGTAAAAGCTTTTGGATTTCCGCCGTCCTAACTGTCCCGTGCTCTCCGTGACAAGGCCGTCGTAGCCTCTCATCCCCCTAAGTGTCTCGTTTCCCCTGTTGGCTGTGACAATGTGACATCCTCCTGAGTGGGACACCACCCTCCTGTCTGACGCCTTCTGACTGTTCCGTCTCTCCGTCATAGGCTCGCCGCTGCCCTCTCCGATGCGGTCGCCGGCGCGGACGCCGAACCCGCAGAACCCCTGCGCGCAGGCTCTGTTCGACTTCGAGCCTGAGAATCCCGGAGAACTCGGTTTCAAGGTGAGCGACTGTGCTTCAGACTAGACTGAAAACTAGACGGAATTCGCTTGGGATCTTGCATAGTCGATCGAGAAATCATCAGCTAAGTGCTCGTATGTGCTCGTATGTAAATCATCAGCTCGTATGTAACAAAGAAATTTGGTAAATGATTGCACGGTATTGTAGAGCGGGAAGTACGTACTCGTATTAATGATCGTGAGTGATCTTATTGTGCATTATGGCAGGTCTGAGAAATCCCCTCCTCTTCCAATTTACTGAGCCACGTGCCCCGTGCCACATTGTCCCTGGATTTTCCTGCCTCTGACGCTGGTATTTCTCCGTTCGGCTGCAGGAGGGCGACAACATCACACTGACCCAGCAGATCGACGAGAACTGGCTGGAAGGCACGCTGGACGGCCGCACGGGCTACTTCCCCACCACCTACGTGCAGGTGCTGGTCCCGCTACCGCGCTAGGCGGCGCCGCGCGAGCCCGCGCCGACTCGTGTGCGTTCTCCGGGAGGGAGGACCCTGCCGCCGCCCCGGGCGCCGCCACAGGGCGTAGAGAGGTCTCGGTGAGTGCGGCCGGCGGCGCCAGTGCGCCAGCAGTGTAGAGGCCAGAACGCTGCGCTACAGTCGCTCGCCAGCAGAGACTCACGCCGTACTGATTGTGTCGTGCTATAGAGATTGTATTCGACGCCGGCCGCCGGGGTGCCGCGTCCCATTGTTACGTTTCCCAGACTTTAACCTAAGATATTACGAGTCGGTGTTAAGTGGTAAGCTCCGCTCGCTGTTGCGGCTGTCTCTGGCCGGTCGCTCTTGTCTCTGCGGTGTGCGCGGGCGCTTCTACTCCGCGGAGGGACAGTCTAGGTGGGGTACGCTCCGCGGGAAGGCTCGGCCGCTGGACTCTGTCAGCCGGCACTTTGAGCGACATATCGGACGGAGAGGCGGCCCGCGCGCCGTCAATTGTTACAGCGGCATCTCAGTCCCGTCAGCCGGCGTTCGGTCAGCTGGTGATCGCCAGAGAGCCCCTCCCTCATCCGTCGTCCCCGCCGCCGTCTCGCTATCCCCACGTCTTCCCCGTTCGGTCGCCTCCCTCCCTCTCTCCTCTCTTCTCTGCCCGCTCTCTCTGTCTGTCAGTCCGTCGACGTGTATCCGTCATTTGTGCGGTCTGACGCGGGGTGCGGGTCGCGCCCAGACTGCTGTATTGTGTACGCGGCGTGTGTGAGTGAGTGTTGTGAGAGAGGCTCTAGGACTCTGTGACCGTTTCAACGGTCGATCAGAGGGCTATCGCTGCTGTAGTGAGGTCGGGGGACCTGGCTCGTGCTCGTGTGTCGGAGACAATAAACCCGCGCAGATGAGGCTCCTTTGTTTCCAATCTCTGTCAGGTTGACATTGATGTTTCGGGAAGTCTGTTTGGATTTGGATTGTGTAATGCTATGGGGACACCTCTCTCGGCTATGATCTGTTAGAGGATATCTAAACTGATTTTGAAATAACTCATGACACGCTCCAGGAGGGTGTGGTTTCGACACACCTTTGCAGCAGCGTGCCAGACGCTGGAAAAATACAGTTCATGCAAGTTGAGGGCTATTTATAGCCACATTGATTCACAAATATCATGACCGTCGTATTCGATCACGACCTTTGGTTGTGTTGTGCTGTGTGCACGGCTCTGCGGCGTGATCGTGTTTGTCTGGCCGGATGACTGCGCCCAGCCGGCGTACGGCGGGGACGTCCTTTGAGACGCTTCCAGTGCCCGGTAGAACGCTTATTGACCAATGACCAGATGGATTTCCTCCAGAGACCGACGGGCTCCCATTGACCGGTCAGCGCCCAGCGGTGAGGCTGACCAGCGTACTCGGCAGTCAAGGGCAGACATCCCCACCAGTCAGCAACTGACCACCTCCAATGGTTATCCTCCCACCCCGCGCCCCGGCCGGTCACTGTTACTGTGTGCTTAGTGCACTCCCTATCTGTCGACCGACAGCGGTTAAAAACTCGCCTCTGTACTTTGACCGTATCCGCCCAGCCCCCCCCCCCCCAGCCCTCCCCGGTCCCACAGCGCGCCCTCGACACAGAGGCTTTGTGTAGTAGAAAGAGATCGTAAATCTGGATTGTGGAAGACTTGTCCTTGTTTCCTTTGAGAGGCCAAAGAATGTTGTTTGGGTCGTTTTTGCGGTTTTGCAACTGTGTGCCTCCGAACTATGTTATTGGATTTATAACTGTTGACCTACAGAGACATTATCGGACAGCTTGAGATCACTACGCACACGGCTTCAGGTCGCTTGCACGGTATGTCTACGCACAGCACGCGTTTGGAGTAAAATGCGATAGTATCTAGATCTAGTCGGTTAGGCAGGCTCGAGAGGCCCCAACAAGTGCACATATCTTCGGCGAATACTTCCGTACATATTGCGCAAACCAGGCATATCCACACGTACTCGTGTTCCCATTTCTGCAGAGAATAAATGCGTGAAACTCTCCGATAAATGGCCGGTTTTCGATAAAAAAGAATATCGAATGGCTGAATGAACTGCGTCGCATTTTGAGCGCGCGTGTCACGGTTGCAGAGGACAGGACAGACCGTTGCCGACCGGTGCAGCGGAACGTCCGGAAGCCGGCCGGTGCTTTTGAACTGAGCACGTGTGGTGGTCATCAGATAATTTACTTTATCTAGATAGCTATAAAAAATCAGAATTTCACAATGATCTGAACATGTTGGACTTCAAAGTAGTAGAATTTTGTGAATTCCTCTGCGGACCATGTGTGAATTCCTCTGAATTCCTCTATAGTGTTTTTACCACGCTATTTCAATGCTCTTAAGATTCGTAAAATACGAATTGCATGCCGTAACTCCTCTGGGCTCTGATTTTTTCGCTATGGTGACTGGGTTACGATATGCGTCGTCTTCTCTATGACCTCTTTTAAAGAGCCGATGACGTCATTGATAGGATGGGTCGCATCTCCTTCGCAGTTTTCTGCGAAGGAGATGCATTCGCAGTTTTCTGGCCAAACCCTTGTTTATCATGGCCGCACAGCCCCCAGCCATTACATAAGAAAGGTCATGCGGCCGGCTCGTTATCTGGCAAAAGCCGCCTGTTTACGCCGTCCACGGCGCATTCACTGGTCATGACGCCATCTCACTGCAGAATCGCGGAAACGTTCCCAAAAAGCAAATGTGTAAATAGACCCAGTTAGAGACACGTTGAGTTCCACAAGTACGGACGTCAATGGCTCTGACGTTAGTGGTCGGCTGGTTGCTGTCTACTTATATAATGAAGCTCTGGCTCCAGGCTCGTCTAAAACGCAAAGAGAGGTCACGTATACCCATCATCGGCAGGGCATGTTCGAGCTGAATGACTCATCGGTCCTTTCTATTAGTGAGGGTTCATTCAATACTGAATTGGACACTTGCCATTTTTAAGTCTGCTCTAATCCCTCCTTCATCCGGATTCCGGGTTGAGTTGCATCACACGTCATTAAGCATTCTGTTTATGTAGTCTATGTTTATTGTAGTCCGGTTTCTCCTGTAATATTCTCTTGTTGCGATGACTGGCAGGTGCTATGCCGTGACCGGGGTCCGGTATCGTCCAGATCATATAGCCAGAAAGGGTGCTGTGCATATGCCGTCGGAGGGACCTGTTGTATATCATGCATCTAATCCATGTGGTAATCGATAGCTTAGGACAGAAGACACTCTCTTGGGTGCTCGTTAGACGTTTGCATTAACTTTGGCAGTCAATTGCATCATGAGAATGATGAGTTGTGCTAACGAAGGCACTGGCGGATCCAGGAAGGTGGCCTGGGACGCTGAGGGGGCATATTACCAAGAAAAGTTCCTCCAAATTCCAAAAACTCTTGGATTTCGATTTCTAACGCTTTGCTGTGCAGTTTAAAACAAACTATTGCTAATAAAAGTTTGTTCATTTCTCGTTTTATTCCCGAATACCGAAAATTCGTCGATTTCGTCGATTTCGGGCGCTGCGGGGAAGGCATCTGCCCCAAATGCCCCCCCCCCCCCTGGTTCCGCCAGTGATTAAGGCGGTGCTATATCCTGCACTTACTGCCGTCTGTAGCGCCTTGTACGGCGTGCATATAATATACATTGGTGAAGGTGAACAACTCAAGTGGAATGGGTTCGAACTGGATGCTCTCCGTCATGCTGCGTGGTGCGTTTCCAGGTTGACAGGGTAGAGTTGGATAGAACGGCACGTGGGATACGGCCCTGAACATCAACTTCCTAGTCCGTGTTGTCTATCTGGAGATGCTTCCGCCTTGCTGCCCATCGGCCACTATAGACCCAAACACCTGGGTATTTGCATACATAAGTATGTATATGTTTATTTGTCTCGCAGCGTTAACCTTCAGAAACAACAGAATCCCTTCCGTATTGTTTGATGGGCGCAAGGGAATTCCACCCCTCAGCCAAAAGCGTTCGGCCCGTGTTGTCCAGTTCACGCAAAGGAATCTCACCCCTCAGCCAAAGCGTTCGGCTGAACGTCCTATCAAGCGCGGGTGAATGGACATGTGCTTTGACACAATCATTTTCAGTGCTTCTAGCCATCAGATGCCCTTCTTTTAAGCCATCTTCTCGCACCCGCAAGGTGCCCTCACTGTCACGTGAGGCTTTCCTCGAATACCTATCAACAATTCCCGTTGCGATATCGGCCTTATTCCAAGTGAGTCAAAGTATCGAGTACCTGAGCACGAGGCCGGTCTCGTGCCGGCCCTCTCGTGTCTGCCGAGTGCTGCACTATCTCGTCCTGCAGCGGCACGTGCAGTGTGCCCCGGCCGGAGGTGTGTCGGGGGTGTGTCGGTCTCGGGCGCACAGGATTTGTCGGGTTGGACCGGTCGCCGACTGGCGCAAACTACTTCCCCAAGCACCACTCACGCCAGTTTCGACCGATAACAGCTTGCACAGAGGGAGGCGTCTGTGGCAGCCAGATTCTGGCGCGTGGGGGCTCGTCAAATACGCGTGGTTGACCGGTCAAAGTTCGTTGGGCCAGAGAGTCGATCGTCATTACGCAGTCATTCCAGTCATTACGCAGGCGTGGTTGCGTAATGACTGGAGTCTGGCGTAAAGGAAGTTGTGTAATGTGGTCATGTTTGGGCGTGGCTCATATGGTCCAGCTTCCAGAACATGTTTATATCATACTATAATAGCATCCGGTGCGGGCGCACCTATTTATCAGTAGCATTCTTCTCGAAAGGGATTTTATTAAATTTTTTAGGCGTCTCTTTTAGTCTTCTTTTATTCAGTCTTTTTTCATCGTTTTTTTAGAGTTAGTTGCGTTCCGTAACGCGCATTCATAACTATCGCGTGATCGTTTTCTTTGCAAGAAGCTATTTCGGGCGGCGAGTTATGTCTCGTGCTCTTTTAATCAGCACTAGATAGTAGGTACTAAATGATCAATGATCATGCCACGCTGCTCGCCAATTCTCATCAGAGAAAAAGTGGGGAACTGTCATCGCTGATTGAGAAATAGTTTCTCTACGCATAAAGTCATAAAAGTTCTGCCTTCCGAGGCTATCTGATCCTATTTGAACCAGCTTTGCTTTCCATTGTATATGGCCAATTTGCATTTCGAATCGCAGCTCAGCTAGCAGTCGTGGTATGGTTTCGGAGAAAGTGACTCCTGTAGGATAAGTACTAACTCATACATGCCGTGAGTGTCGTTATTCAGTCAAGTGCCAGTGTAAGGTATCAATCACGGCCGACCCCAGTCCCTGACCTGTACTCTGCGGGCCAGCATCATTGTCATCAGCAACACCATAGGCACATGGGTGTAGCGTAGAGCCTCGATGATAAGCAACTCTCGCCCGTGATATCCGGTGTCTAGCCAGGGAAATATCCTGTCACGAACTGCAGGCACACTATATTTTTGCCGTACCAGGCCTTCGTGAACGGAGGCTCGACGTGGCGAACCCCAGTTGCACGTTTGGTTGGTCTGGGTGATCGCCATGCCTAGATCGGTTTTCATTCGTATTACACGGCGGCGCCTTCCGTGTGCTCCACGTATCATGGTGTTAAAAAATCAATGCATGTTTGGCAAAGGGAACTTGAAAGGTTGGTTGCGAATACCTGTACCCGTCGCTAAGGATTAAGGTTTCCGCTTTTAACTTTGTTAAGACTTTGTTTAGATAAAACGTGTTTCAGCTGTCATTTATTTTGAGCATTTTGATATTTGAGTCTGTAAATGATCGATATAATCATGTCCCGGTATCTCCTGATTTATCGCATTATTTTACGTCTATTGACCAAGCACATACCTACGTAATCGTACTACACCGATGTCGCATTGTGAAGACAGGGATTGTCTCAAACGTTTTGAAGGTCCTCAGAGACGTAGGTATACTAA